TCTGTCTGACCTCCACCTGTCTCTCTGTCCTCCACCTGTCTGTCCTCCACCTGTCTGTCTGACCTCCACCTGTCTCTCTGTCCTCCACCTGTCTGTCCTCCACCTGTCTGTCCTCCACCTGTCTGTCTTCCACCTGTCTCTCTGTCCTCCACCTGTCTGTCTTCCACCTGTCTCTCTGTCCTCCACCTGTCTGTCCTCCACCTGTCTGACCGTCCTCCACCTGTCTCTCTGTCCTCCACCTGTCTGTCCTCCACCTGTCTGACCGTCCTCCACCTGTCTGTCCTCCACCTGTCTGACCGTCCTCCACCTGTCTCTCTGTCCTCCACCTGTCTGTCCACCACCTGTCTGACCGTCCTCCACCTGTCTGTCCTCCACCTGTCTGACCGTCCTCCACCTGTCTATCTGTCCTCCACCTGTCTCTCTCTGTCCTCCACCTGCCTCTCTGTCCTCCACCTGCCTCTCTGTCCTCCACCTGTCTGTCTGTCCTCCACCTGTCTCCCTGTCCTCCACCTGCCTCTCTGTCCTCCACCTGTCTCCCTGTCCTTCACCTCTCTCTGTCCTCCGTCTGTCTGTCTGTCTGTCCTCCACCTGTCTCTCTGTCCTCCGTCTGTCTGTCTCCCTGTCCTTCACCTGTCTGTCTGTCCTCCACCTGTCTTTCTGTCCTCCACCTGCCTCTCTGTCCTCCACCTCTCTCTCTGTCCTCCACCTGTCTGTCTGTCCTCCACCTGCCTCTCTGTCCTCCACCTGTCTCCCTGTCCTCCACATGTCTGTCCATCAGGAGGGTTCTGAGGTCTTCGTGAAGGACTACAGTAATAACGGGACATTTGTGGACGGCGTTCGGGTCGGGCTGAACAAGATGCTTCCTCTGACCAACAACGCCGTCCTCTCTCTGTCTGAGCCACGGAACAAAGGTGAGACACCTGACTGACCTCACCTGCCAGGCCCCGCCCACCCGTCTCACCTCCTGTCTGTCTGCAGTGTTTGTCTTCATCAACCTGATGNTAGAGGACCAGTACCTGTTTGTTTATGTTTGTTTGTTTGTTTACAGACTGTATAGAGGACCAGTACCTGTTTGGACGGGACTCTGGGTGTCAGTATGTTCTTGATGATCCTCATGAAAAAGGATCCAAAAAGTTCAGAATCTACAGCAAGAAACACTTCAGGATTTACAGAGTGAGACTCAGAACCAGAACCATCAGTACCTGTGGCTCAGAACTGTTTCACTAATTCTGTCTCTCTGTCCTCCACCTGTCTCTCTGTCCTCCACCTGTCTGTCCTCCACCTGTCTGACCTCCACCTGTCTCTCTGTCCTCCACCTGTCTGTCCTCCACCTGTCTGACCTCCACCTGTCTCTCTGTCCTCCACCTGTCTGTCCTCCACCTGTCT